ACTATTTTTCCGTGTTTTTGGATATTTTTTTCACTTGTTCATTCGCGTTTCACCATGGCCGAACAGATATCCAAGGTACTTAAGTTAAAGACTATGTCCCCACCTTCGTTTCAACTGATGCCCTTTTGGCCAGACAACACCGAAACCTGTTTCTGCTACGCAGAAGTCGACTTCTGCGAGCACGGCGTGAACGACACACATGCACAATTCCTTACAGTAGTCAAGGCACTGCCGCGCGAATTCAACAGGTACGTAACACCTAGTATGTTTACTAGTGATGTTTCTGAACCCTACGAAGCACTGAAACGAACTATCCTTAAACTTGGAGACCTAACCGATAGACAAAGTTTAGACCAACTCCTCAATAACATCGACCTGCAACACGGTTCTGCAACGGGTATGTTGCAACGAATGTGAGACGTTATCGGCCAAAGAACCTTCGGTGATGGCCTATTTAAACATCTTTTCTTGTTCAAACTTCCTCCACAGGTGCAAACTGTGCTGGTTTCGTTTCAGAACAACGCCTTAGACGAGCTGGCCGCATCTGCCGACCGTAATTTAAAAATCATGAAATCTAATGCCGAGGTTTTTTAGCCAAAGAAAAGCCTCAAACAACACAGAATGACATAACAGAGTTTTGTCTAGCACTTACACGTTATCTTAAATTTCGTAACGACCGTAAACGGTCACACACCCCATGAAGAGGCACTTCACGTTAGCGATCTGTCCCTAGACCACGAGAGACTGATAACTCAGACTTGTGCTGGTATCATAACCAGTATGGAAAGTCCTCCAGAAATTGCAGAAAACCCTGCAATTTTCCCAACTCAAAATCGACCGAAACGAAAAACAATTCGGGAAACTTCCAAGCCGGCATGCGTTAATGGTAACCGTAGCCGGCGAACATGGCCGTCTGTTATATGTCACAGATGTGATAGCGAGAGTTCGCTACCTCGTCTACACTGTCGCAGAAGTTAGCGCCCTTCCTGCAAATTCGAACGACCGGCTTCACGAATCGGTTTTAAATTTACAGGCGGCAAACGGAAAGCCTATCGCCACATACGGTAAAAGGTACGTTTACCTTAACGTGGGTTTACGCAAACCCATTCACTGGATCTTTGTTGTTGCAGATGTTTCTATGCCAATCATTGGTACAGACCTTCTACAACACCATAATCTAATCATCGATACGCTCAAACGGAGACTAGTAGAAGGAAACACTAACTTATCCGTTCGCGTAGCTTCTTTTCCTGGTTGTAAATTATCCCCAGTCACAATTAAGCATACGATAAACCCACTTTATCAACCACTACTCGATAAGTATCCTGGGATTCATCAAACGCAACCGAAACTACCGTGTGTAACCAGTAACGTTACACATCACATCATGATTACAGGACCACCTGTATTCTCTAAAGCACGACGACTAGCCCCCGAAAAGCTAAGGTTGGTGAGAAACGAATTCGACCACGTGATAGACTTACTTATCATAAGACCGTCAGACAGTCCATGGGCATCTCCGTTGCAAACGGTCCCTAAAAAGGACAGCAACGATTGGTGTCCAACTGGTGACTATCGGCGATTGAATGCGAAAACCATTCCCGATCGTTACCTGTTGCCTCACATTCACGATTTGACAACTACCTTGAAAGGTACAACTGTCTTTTCAAAAATCGAGTTGGTTAAAGCGTATAACTAAATACATATGCCTACAGACGATATACCGAAAACAGCGATCATTACTCCCTTTGGACTGTATGGATTTTTGTGAATGTCCTTCGGTCTAAGAAATGCTGCACAAACATTCCAAAGGTTCATAAACGACGTTTTCCGAGGTCACAACTTCGTACATGCGTATGTTGACGATTGTCTAATAGCAGTCCAAACAGAGAACCGAATCTCAAGCATCTGGATTTTGTTTTCGACCGACTATAAAAACATGGCATTACTGTAAACGTTCAGAAATGTCAATTCGGAACCGACTCATTAAACTTCCTAGGACACACTATAGATGCTCAAGGCACTCAACCTCTTAGGACCAAAGTGGCGGCCATTCTGGATTACCCAGAACCGACCACCGTCAAGCAATTACGCACGTTTAACGGCCTGGTAAGTTTCTATAGACGATTCATACCAAAATGCGCTTTACGTATGAAACCTCTTACCGACCAACTTCGTGGAAATGCGAAATCCATCAATTTGGATGACACCGTGCGACAAGCATTCCCTACCGTTAAGGAACTTATCGCTCAAGCAACAATGCTCGTTCATTAGAACACTGAAGCACCCATTAGTATCGCAGTAGATGAATCCGACTCAGCAATCAGAGGAGACTTACAACAATGGGTTAGCCACTCCTGGCAACCTTTGGCATTTTTATCTAGACGGTCGCTAGACACTTGGTGGGTACGATTCATATTAGGAAGTGTTACTGGTTAAAGCGTTGTCAAACTCTCGATAGATTTCAATTCAATCCAAACCCAGGGTTTTAATTATTCCTCTCTATTTGATTAGCTAAATCATTAAATAAAAGATATCAAAAATGGAAGAGAGTGGTTTATTGGAAATGCAATTTGTGATAATTAGGAGTATTTGAATTATAGTATAAACTAAGAATTCTATATTGTACCAAAAAGATAATATTGAATAAAGCCATCAATAATAAATTTTAAAAAAAGAATCCCAGGAATAACGCTACCGGATCAAGATGTAATAGATAAGCACGAACGAATGTACTGTAATTGAAATTCGAAATCAAGCATTCAACAAGTACAAAGGAATCGTTAGTTCATACAAACACCACGTCTGCCATATCTTAAATTGGAGTCCAGGTGTCTGTAATCGATTGTACGTCTTCTTAAGTTCATCCTGTGTCTGTCCGACAGAGTATTGGATAAAGATCCTGTATTATCTAAAATGTACTCATAAGCTTTAGAATTAACAACCGAAATCGGAACAGACTCACCTGGTTACTGGGATTGTATACAATCACTGTATCGGTTGTGTACCGAAACCACTAATAACCATAATTTGAACCATAGATTCTCCAACACTACCCTCCCCCCCCCACTAAATAGTGTTGGATCTTCATATCCGCAAGCTGTGAATTACGTGGCCTCATTTAACTTATATTTTTTACAATGAATAGAGTAGACATTAGAAGTGACTTCGTGATAAGGATAAACAGCAGTTAATATGAAATCATCCGAGATATGATGTGACGACCATTCGGTGCCCCAACATACAAATTTGTCCCTCAGTATAGATTACTCGTCTTCTGAAGCCTGTGTAAGGGCTGAAACTGTTTTTTTAAGTCCCCATATTGTTTAGGGTAATGTATTCAATGCTAAGATTTTTATCACGAACTGACATCAGCTGTCATGTAAAAATGCTCTGTCGCCACTAGGACAAATGAATTTCGAGAAAAAGTACAACAGGTATTTTTTGAAATATAGGGCCTCCTGGTTAATGTTTTATTCAGCATTCAAAGGTTAGGATAAAAGGATAGTATGAATTTGTCTGTTACATACAACTTACAGAGAGAGGAGTGAGTAGCTGATACGTTTAACAATATCTACTCTACCTCTATAGTGGCACAAAGCAGTTTCCCACTATCAATTTAAAACGTTCTGAGCACTACAGAAAAGCATTTATACCGCTAGCTGAACGTGACATTTAGATTTTCTTCATAAGCCTAAAAGCTGTGTTCTCGATTCCGATTTTCCCGTTCCTTTACTGTATTTTTATCTTGTAAACTATACACATACATAATGCAATCTTGTAAATAAACATTTACGAATAGAACAGGTAAGCGGCAGTAACAGTCATCAGTGTCAATTCCGGCTAGAAAAATCCAAATAACGAGTCCCAACAATCTTAAAACCTTTGTTCAAAAGGTTTTGAAAATATTTAGCATCACGTATTACTGTTACTAGAATACCTCAGAGATTACTTTTTCAGAAAATACGTGTATTACTACAATACAGTCTCAGGAAGACTACGTCTCGAAATATTCTGGATCAACCAAGAGATCGCAATTGTTTTCAGAACGTAATATGATTGATTGACTGTCAACCAATTAAGAATGAGTTTTCGATCGGTATAAATCTGTAGACAAAAAGTGGATCCAATATTATAAATATCTCTGTACTAGCCGTTCATTTAAATTTTCCCCTGACTTTATTTTAATGATATGACTTTCGGTATATAGTAATGGGATTGGTAACGACATCAAACAGACACATCGGAGTAGCGCAAATCGTAATATCTCCTAAAAAAAGGCTTGATTTATGACACTACGTAGTGTATACAATCAGAGTAGTATATGGAAAGCATATATACACGGACTAACAACTAACTATACAAAACAAAACGTTACAAAAACCTAAATGTTTCAAAGTCTCTTTAGTTGAACCAAGCCTAACAGGTACTCTCATAAGTTCACTTTTAGAAAAACTAACAATAATGAAAGACGAAAATAGTACGCTGAAAAAACCTGCCAATGGTAATACAGCGCTTTCATAGCAATGACCAAGACAAAGAGAAAAAATGAAAGGTAAGAGAAGTATCCAATCAAAAATGATTACTTTCAAGTGTTTCATCATTTCAAAAATTACATCCAGTTAATTTATCAAATAGGACAATCCCAGCGTAAAACTTAACGAAGCCGCCGTAGACTTAGAGTTATATAATAGTCTTGACTGTTAACAGTTCAGAAATAATACGATTAACTCATTCACTGGGTATTTGGATATGAGCAATGCTTAAAGTATGAGGGTTAGTGATACTACCCCGTTGCCCAAGAAGAAGTAGCTTAGAGCAGGGTTTGAACCTAGAACTTAGTGGTTGAAATTCGATAGTCTCAGAGAAAACCGAAGAAGATCAGAAGTAATAAAATTCTTTTCTTATACAAATATATTCATAACCTTAGAAAGAATTTGATTATGTTAAACGCCAACTTAGCATTAAACTATGAAGTTAGAAATAAAAGAAACACTAATTTGTGAACTACAGATATATTACTTGCTTTGACACCATACATATAGTTCATTAATTAACATATAAAGCTGTACTTGAATGTGAAAGTTAACAATTTTCATATATTCTACAAAAGCAATAAATTTTAAACTAACTGGATACAGAAAACTCAATTATATCCATAAATATCTATCGTAGCAACCAAAATAAATCAATTATATATATATATATATTAGATGAAAGTTAAATGCCTAGCAAAAAAAGCAAAGTCAATGAAAATATGAGACTCAAATAGTGATAATAATGATCATTATAGTTATTATTATAACTGGTACCATTAGCACTCAACCTGACGACCGTATAATGAAATTAAAATTAAAAATTAACATATAAAAAACAAAGCGATGTAAGAAATAAGTAGAGGTATTATACATATATATTAGCGATTGAGGTGTTTTCTTTGTCAATCCAAAGGACACAATTTAAAAATCATCTATCGATATAAAACTAAGGAAAACAAAATGTATCAAGTATAAAATAAATGAGAGTCAGAAATGGTAAGGAATAAATGCATTTGTATCGGTGGGTCTATTGACTCCATTATGTAAAAAAGAAAGAAAAATGGCCAACAAAGAATCAATGACAATATATGTTTCAATAATATATGAAATGATAAAGAGAGAGAGAGAGAGTGAGAAACATTTACATAAACATAAATATACTCTAATTTCCTGTATTTATAATAATACTACTTGTATCACTGGAGACAATTTGTTCTGGTGTTTTGTGATCACCACAAACAGGTATTTCATGAGTGTTAGATCTGTTTGACTGTTGTTGTTCATTATCTTCATCGTCTTGTTCTTCTCCATCACCCTCTTCCTCTTCTTCTTCATCGTCATCATCATCATCATCGACATCATCTTCATCTCCATCATCATCGTCTCCATCACCTCGTCCTACTTCATCATTTGAAATTTGACTTGCCTCACCTAATTCCTTATGATGTGACTGATTGTTTAAGCATGACAGTATCTCGTTTGATTTCGTTTGATCGCCAACTCGAGCACGTTTGGTCGCCACATACAATCCAGCTTTATATTTCTCCATATCCTATTTTTAAAGGAAAATACGAATATGTAAGAGTATAGTCGATAAAATATTCCAAAAGTTTTCAAATATAAGTGTAATTCTTTTTAGATGTTACAAAACAGTTAAGCAAATAGTTTAATTTCATGAGTATTGTATACTTTCTTAGTCCTATTTCCCTATTATTTAATTATATATATAGTGTTCAGCTACGTTGAAACCACTGGATGGGTTATATTTAAGTTAACCAATAAGAACTTTAATTGAGTGAGGTGGTTTGAATGTGGTATACGTGAGTAAACAGTATCTACTTTGGGATAGTATGATAACTAGACTGAAGCGTAAGTTGAAAAATAGCTAAAAGCAAGGGAACCAAAATATGGTATCACTTCATAGGGTTACTAATTGTTGGTCTGAGTTCTGTGCGGAGACACAAACTTTCAGGTTGAAATTTACGAGATTATCGCAATTTATGATTGCATATCTTTGTTGAAAGTTAAGAAGATAGATCACAGTGACAGAGGTGCACTCACTGATTATTTCCACAAAATTTCAACCCTATTATTTCTTCATAGTTTTTATTACCTGTTCCCACGAGGTTTTTTAACGATAGTTTCGATGTTCATTTATCATGTTTAATCTTCTGTTTTTAACCTATTGTTAATTTTTACTAACTCATGCTCATGTGAATTGCATTCTTGAACCTTCACACATTTCTGCTAGTTTCAGCTTACTTGTATCTGTGTATTTGATTGTCTGTCCTGTTATTCAACTTTTTGAAAAAGTTATCATCATAGATTTATGTACTAATCTTCGAGCCACATTAATTTTATGATAGTTAAGCACAATACTCGGTTCAAAAAGTGGAAGTCAAACATCTGAGCCACTAGGTATTAGTTTTGCAGTAGTATTTATTTATGATAATCTCCAGGATATAAACAGCTTTCCAAATACTCTACTGTTGTTAACGATTATCAGGTCAATATTTATTTGTAATGCAGACACACTGGATCGATGCTCATATGCATCAAGTTCTATGCTGCTTATGGCTGATTGGCTCCCGAATGTTTATTATTAGACTGATTTAAATAAATTAATAAACTTTTCAAAACATGGGTGAATAGGTAACCTGAAACACCACTTTTGTAACTCACTTGTTCATAACGTAATTTGTCATTCTGTGCGCGTCTTTCGTATTTCTCTTTATCGGAACACTCTTCCCATCGTCTACCTAACTCCTTGGCAATATCGCTAACCTTCCAATCGGGATGCTCACTACGAATTTTTGATCGAAATGCATCGCAAAAGAAGAAAAATGCTGACCATGAACGTTTAGGCATACTTGGATCTTTGATACGTCGCCGTCTACGACCTCGCTTCATTCCGACTGGTGGTATATAATGAGCCATTTCCCGATTGAATCTCTCCGTATCTAATTTTGCCATTTCCTCAAAACACTTTCGTTGTTCCAAATTCATGAGCTGCACAATAAGAAATAATTAATCATGAGACAGTAATAATGCTTTTTAATGCTTCATACCTTCCACTTTTCTGCACATTTCTTGGAAAATTCACTGAAAATAACATTTTCTGTCGGATGTTTTTTTCGATGTTCCTCACGTATTACTTGCACGAAACATGCATATGGTGTCATCGGTGGTTTAGGACGATTCTTATCTTTTACCATCATTCCTTCTGGTGTAGAGTGAACCTCTAGAATCTATGAATAAAAAAATGCATGGCATTGTGATGATTCAAAAAACCACCACTGAACAAGATAATAATATTCAGTTTGAAAATAAATAACTACCTAGTATATTTCGCAAAATTAAATATAACGAATGAAAGATAATTATGAACCCAAGAGAGAAAGAAATTGTTAAGGTGTCTTTTAAATGCTGACATGTCATACAACCGAAAACTCAGTAGCTTCGATCGATAACATAAACCAAAAGCTAAAACTACAATCATTCTAATCCGGATCTCATCTACAAGTTGACATGCAGCTTTATTTATTTACTATTTAAACACATGAATATTGGTACAAGGAGGCAACAAACAGATATGCGCCACAGAAATCATTCGATTTATTTGAGGGCTGGGATACTTTCCGGGTGCCCAAACCAAAATAGATGGTTGTCTTCGAGGGACACACCCTGAGCCTTTGACCTGGAGGTCTAATCCACAAGGTAGTGAAGCAACGTAAGGAGATGCAGTCCCATGGTAGCCGGTGACCAACAATAGGTTAATACGCGATTTGTTTTCCTAGGATCCTGGAGCCCATGTACACCAGTGGTTTGGAATCAAGGTTTTCCAACTCCCCTAGATGGGATCCTCCGTATCCACCATGCAGCTATAATTTATTTATTTATTTGAACATATAAATATTGGTACAAGGGGATACATTAACTTTGAGATGCAGACACATCCACCTGCCGTGTCTCAAGAAGAACGAAACGCGCATCCTGAAATTCACTGCTAGCCACAATCCATCCCTACAAACATATGCAGCTATAAAGATATGTATGGTGATAAAACTAATAAAATTTCAAGCTTCAGGCGATTGTAGTAGAACAACTTGACATATGAAGAGACTATTAAAACCTATTCACAATTGACAGTTTATCAAAATCCGATTCTTAATGAAGAAAAGGAACAGAAAACGTCGCAAATCCTAGAACTGAACAAAGTTTTGAGTTCTAAGAAATCTACATTGAGGTTTACTTGTGGAAAATCATATTTTTCATTGGTTAATGAAGACTACAATATATTTTGTAATTGATCTTGTTAAATAATCAGGAGTGCGCCATTTAAATGACTAAATTTACTTAAGAACACAAACTGAGACAAGATACACAATTCAAAAGATTAGTCATTTCATATGTATCATACTTTTTCATCCAATGATCGATTAAAGAAATCCAGAATATCAATTAAAAGATAAAATCAAACGCTTTTTTATTCAATACAAATAACTTTGCCCCACTCAATAATATGTTACTTGAACAGGATTTAATGGGACTAAAAACAGGTTTCGCTACAATAGTCTAAAATCTTCATGGTGATCTTTAAACCCAGGATGAACACTGATAACTTCTTAGGCCGAAGGTTCATGAAGCAAAGTAGATTCCTTAATTGGGTATTTATTATCACCGGCATTAATGTACACATAGAAGTGTTTGGCTTAACGACACATAGAAATCTCATACGAAACGAAATGACAGCAATATGAAACAGTAGGAGAGGAAACGGTATGATGAAAAATAGAACTTACTGAAAAATATGGATCAATTATGAGTAAAACTACAATGAGTCTCATAGATTCGGAAAGTGCATTTTCTAGTTGATAGATCAAAGCAGATTACAGCAAAAATAGAAACTGGTTTTGACCCTGAGTTATTTTAAGGCACCAAGGTGAATGTTTTCTAGGACTCGACTCACAGTGTTATAGCGCATGAACGGGTATTACAATACATACTTATAGCGCTTTCTATGACGGCCATAAGCCTTTGCTTTGTCCACGTTTATTATTATTACTATTATTAATAATAATATGGTTACTATTGTGACTCCATTTAATATTACATGTTTAGTATGATATAGAATCCTCAGCACAAAGTATTTCAACAGGTTCCTTTTATAAAACAGAAAACGATTACTATATATAATATATATTACGTAAATAAACTGCCTGGAATTAAATGAAATGTTTTTTTAAGAAGATTAGGATCTGCACAACTTTTATTTAGAAACATGTTTAAGAATATAAATCATTGACTAGATTAGCCCTTACAAACTGTTCGTCACATAGTATGTTTGCTAGATAAGGTATTGTAGAGCTTCTACACCTTTCCTTACGTGCATCAATTTTAACATATTGGTACCCCGTTCTACGGGAAGATATATAAGGATAGAGATAGGAATGAAGTGGATGGTTAGTATCAGGAGTTTGCAAGATTTTATATGCCTATCCACAACCATTTATTTATTTATTATTTATTTATTTATTTGAACACATAAATATTGGTACAAGAGAGCGCCAATATATATGCGCCACACAAAACAATGGGAATTCGAAGAGAAGTAGAAAGGAAAAAAAAAACTAAGGACCGCAAAAGAAAAAGAGAGTAATGACGAAGAGGTACAATCAGAAGAAATCTTTCAGGTAAAGGAGACACAACCACTTTTTATGAAGAAAGTAAAAGAAGGTTACAGCAGGATCGCCACTGGCTTCTATTCTGAGCCATATCTGATAACGTCTCTAGCCACTGTGTTGCACCATCTCTCGGACCCCAACCAGGGAGTCGTGAAGGACCAACACAAGCCAGTCCTTTGCAGCTTTCTTTCATGCCACGACACCATGTCATGCACTGACCACCTCTCCGCTTCTTCCAACCAGTCCCAGAGTCAGCAAATAATGCACGACGTGGAATTCTCTGGGACGACATTCGGAGAACATGTCCAAGCCACCGAAGTCGGTGTTTCAAGATGGTGACACCAATTGAGTTATCATCTCTGTGCCCGAACACACGATGCCGAACCTCTGCATTACTGACATGGTGTTGCCACTGAATGTCAGCAATCCTTCGGAGACAGCGATGATCGAACACAGAGAGTCGTCTAACGTCCTCAACTCGGAGAGGCCAGGTTTCACAAGCATAGAGCAAAACTGCTCTCACCGACGCGTTGTAGATCCGGCCTTTTACAGCCAGACTAACATCACGAAGGCGCCAAAGGTGGCCCAGATTGGCATGAGCCGCTCTGGCTTTCACTATTCGTGCATTGATCTCATCACTCACACCCCCACCAGCACTTATGATGCTACCCAGATACACGAACTTCTCAACTACTTCTATCTGCTCACCATCCAGGGTGAGTACAGGATTAGAATCCTGCCAGTCTTGTAGAAGTACTTTGCACTTCGAAGGTGCAAAGCACATACCATACCTACGGACATTGATTGCCAACTGATTAAGTGCGGATTGCATGCCTTGGGCATTATCGCACAGTAAGACAATATCGTCCGCATACTCAAGGTCGAGAAGTCTTTCTCCAGGCAACAGATCCACACCACCATTACTTACATTCATCAGAGCTGTTTCCAGAATGTCATCGATGGCAAAGTTGAAGAGGAATGGTGAGATTGGGCAACCCTGCCTAACCCCACTGCTCGAATGGAACAATGGAGAGAGGTGGTTGTATGCCCTCACTCTGCCTGAGGTGTTTTTATACAGGGCTTTTAGGATGTTAATAAACTTCTCAGGCACACCCTTCTTCAATAGACAATCCCAGAGAACAGTCCTATCCAACGAATCGAAGGCAGCCCTGATGTCAAGAAACACTACGATTGTTGGCCTTTGAAAAGTATGGCGGTGTTCTAACATTTGGCGGAGGGTGAAGATATGATCAATACATCCTCGACCAGAACGAAACCCAGCCTGCTCCTCGCGAGTCAATCTTTCTCGGGTTTTGAACAACCTACGAAGAATGACGGAAGCCAATAGCTTGGACGCAATCGGAAGTAAACTTATCCCCCGATAGTTGTTACAAGAACGACGTGAACCCTTTTTAAAGATAGGGACAACTATCGACTCATTCCATGACGTTGGTACACTCTCTAGTTCCCAAACCTTTGTAAACAACGTCGTCAATTCCTTAGTCAAAAAGTCACCACCATCTTTAAAAAGAGCCGGAGGTAAGTCATCTGGGCCAGGTGATTTGTAACGCTTCAAGAGTTGGAGTTCCTTGCGGACTTCCTCCTCATTTGGTGGATCAGTCGTCACCGGCCATGGAGGGCAGGACAGTCTGACCGATGTTGCCGGAGCAGCAGGCCAGTTGAACTGCCCTTCGAAAAATTCTGCCCATCGTCCAAGACGTCGATGGATGTTAGTGATTGGCATCCCGTCATCCTCGCAGATTGTTTCACTCACACCAGACTTCTTGCTGCCAGTGGCTCGGATGAGTTGGAAGAGCTTCCGGTAGTTACCAGATGCAGCTGCTGCTTCCAGCTCATTAGCACGCATCGACCACCAGGCTTCTCGGTCCTTACGCAAGCTTTGCCCGATTTCCTTACGTAAAAACCTTCGTTTATGGTCAAACTCACGGTTACCCGGAGTAGACCGACGGGCTTCAATGAGTTGTAAGGAACCAGAAGAAACCCAGTGCTTAAAAGCGGGACGTTTCGCAAACCCACAACTGACTGTTCCCGCCATTTTCATGGCGTCATGCAATTGCAACCAATGCTCATCTATACTTTTCGGTGGAGTGGTAGCTAGCCTAGAGGCTAGCTCGGTTCGATACTTACTTGCAACAGAAGTTGCAACCAGCTTGCTAACATCAATCCGTTGATGGCGTTCACTTCGTTGTCCACTGAAAAGTAAGGCAAGATTGGCGCAGACCAAGGCATGGTCAGAGTCCAGATAGGTACTCCAAAAGGAGCGGCAGTCTTGTACACAACCACGCCAGCGGTAGCTGATCGCGATGTGATCAATCTGAGTCCAGGCTTGAGATGCAGAGGGAGGACGCCAGGTGGCACATCGGCGATGACTGTGCCGAAAGTTAGTGCTAGCCAGAAACAGGTTGTGGTCTGCGCAAAGTTGCAGTAGACGGTCCCCGTTATCTGACCTGCGACCAACGAGTCCCCATCGGCCACCTAAACGACTCTCTTCTGTGCCTAGACGCCCGACCTGAGCATTCAAGTCTCCGGCTAGTACTACAATATCTGTCGAACGCACTTTCTGGAGAAGAACTGATAACTGGTGGTAAAACTCATCCTTGATTGCATCCGGGCTGCAATCTGTCGGGGCATAGGCGGAGATGACGAAAAGACATCGTTTCTCACGCCGATTTCTTCTCACTTTGATGGAACTTTCTAATCTAACAGCACATAACCGACTGTTAATGGGGATCCAATCGACTAGTGCTGTCTCAGCTCTAGCGCTTAGTGCGACACCAACGCCAGCAAAACCAGACGAAGATGCCACAGGGTCCCCGGATAAGCGCACGTAAAACAAGCTTTTCGAAGCGACAGATGGAGATCGAATTTGTAGTACTTCGCCAGAGTCTTGAATACGGGTCTCGGATAGACAACACACGTCGATATTAAGACTTTCCAAAGACATAGCCAGCCCTATCTGTTGTCCGACCTGCATAAATGTGCGAACGTTGAAGGCAGCCAGTTTGAATGATGCACGTGGTTTCAGAAAATCTGCTTCAGTCCTCGTATTCGGTGGTAACATACAATTTTCAACCGGACAGTGACTCGAGAACGTTTAGATACAGTCGGAATTCCACCAAAGACGAGCCGCTGTATAAGTATAAAAGAAGGTGAATAATGTGGAAAATAATAATAATAATGATAATAATAACAATAATGACAATAATAGTAGTAATAATAATATTATTATTAATAATGACAATAATTGAAGTGATCATAATTTGAATCAATTGATTGTTTTGCAAAGCGACAAAAGTAGTTTCCATAGACATAAACAGTTCATCATTTGTGTGTGGGCTGTGATACTGCCCGGGTGCCCAAACCGAAGCAGGTGGTTATCTTAGGGGGCCACTCCCCGAGCCTTTGACCTAAAGGTCTAACCCACAAGGCAGTGGAGCATCGTAAGGAGATGCAGTCCCATGGTAGACGGTGACCAACGATTGGTTCATACGCCATTCGTTCCCGCAGGATACTGGAGCCCATGTGCACCATTGGTTTGGAATCCGGTTAAAGCGCCGGACATTCGCTTCTCGTCCTCTCATTTTCGTAAACAACACCCCCGCCACGAGAAGGCAATGAGTAGGACTTCCCTGGCAGAGGCTATATACGCGTGGCCGTGTGAGAGTATTTCGAGAGGGAGAGCGGACTCTCCCCACTCTCGGCCGTACCAGGGCATTCAGGGGGCCACCACACTAATAATGACCTTAAAAGATTCACCATACACCTTGCTAACTGTACTCACCACTCTTCGCAATACAGCGAAATCTCCTCTTACAACCCCGGGAAAGAATAAGGAGGACAGTAAAGAATAATAGGTAACACGCAAAACTTTACAAATCGTAAATGTCGAGTAATGCCAAAAGCATGTGCCACATATTTATACAATAAGTCAGACGGAAAACTGTCTTCGACAACAACAAAACATGAGAAGACCAAGAGAGATCAGAGGAGAAACTTCAGTCAGTCAGTCAGTCAGTAACAAGGTAGAACTTCGTACGTACGCACATCAGTTCGAGTTGCCACACCACATTAGCACAGAGATGCAGTGGTCGATTCAAATCCTGTAGTGCTAGATGTAGTAAATTTATAAGCTGTAATCGGAAAAATTAGGGTTTGAAGATGGTATTCAAGGAGTATAACCCAATGAAATAAATTTGGAAAGAAAAAAGAAAGGAACATGAAGAATTCAGAAGATTAGAATTTGAGAGAACACAAAGAGTGGATGCACCTGCACCCACACCAAGGTAAATGAACTTTGACATTGTTATTGCTATGGGTCTACATTTAGTACTTCCTTTTCCAAATAAGTGGGAGGTATAAAAACCCATGGCGAAAACATGATTCGGAAGTGTACTAGCCACTAACCCCAATGCCTTGAAATAGCACCGTTTGTAGGACTTTAGAGCAAATCGCGACCAAACATGCTGCAGAATGTTAGCATGAAATACGCGGCTTTCATAACGAATAAGGGCAATTCTTCAAAGGTAACAATCATAATACATAGTCATCACATGCCCAGATGAGAGATTAGGTTTCACAAATAAACGACAGTAACCCGACTACCATTTAGCTAAACTGCGGTCTTCAACCTACTAGCAAGCTTAGTGTGCAGGAGCGAACTGAGGTGATTTAACGATCACAGGAGTGCTACTTGTTAACTTCAAAGACAGAATAACAAAGTACTCCCTAAACAAAGGTTTTCGATGAAAAGAACCACTTTAAGTGAGTCATTCTAAAACTAGTGATGCTATATGTCCCAGCTGGGAAATATAGCATCACTGACTGAAAGTCAGTGACTCATAGTTAGCCCAGTAACCAGAAAATCTAAGCAGACTGGTGTGAGTGGATCCACTAAGGTCTTTTGAAAGCCCTACAGTGAATTGTCCCATCATAATAAATTATACTTCACCGTTTGCTAACAATATTGTGAACAGTACATACTGTGGATTTGCGTGTTCAGAAGTCATGTAGAAAATGCCACTACCTAAGACCGAGAAAAGAACTATAGAAGCAAATTAAATGGCCGTTAAAAATGTGGTGGGGTTACCAGTAACTACACCTTCATGCAGATAAATATATGCCGGAACAAACCCGAGCTCCCAATTTTAGGGAAAATTTGACCGAGTTTGGGGGAGCCGCTATAGTAAACTTCATGGAAATGGCACTAAGACCCCGAAATTTCCTCAGACCTGGGGAAATTCCCCAATATTTCCCCAAACTTGGGAGATTGGGAATTTTCGCGAGGCTAAATGATCTGGAGCGATGTAGACGAATTTCGAAACCAAACTTCAAGTTTAAAAACAAAAATCCCTTATCAGCCTTCATAAATGTACTACATTAGTAAAAACCATACATACATTCTAAATGTACTTGTTTTCTATTGTAAACAATCCATCCATAATACCTGCTTTCTGATTGGCTAATGAACAAAAATGTCTCAAGGTCACTTTAACTTTGTAAGCTGAGATTTTGGTTACTTTTAACATTCTCTGTCTATTAAGTGTTTCATGTAGACCGATCTCAAACATTTTCCGCCCATTCAGTCAGTCATTTCTAGCTACAAGAGCAAAATTTTCATATGGGTTTTTCGTAAGGCATAGGTTTCCTGTTATACAGTGACGCGTTTATAGATGACAGCTACAGAGACCTCCACACGCTGTGAATGAAACCTTAGACGAACACTACTTTTGATACACGATAATCGCTCACTAAATGAAGATCAAAATACATCGACATGTTGCCAAAGAATCACACTGGGGATGTCTCAGATAAGTTTTACATACTTGTACTTTAGTTTCTGGCGGTAAACCAGTCCCTAAAATGCACAGTTTCAGAGATGCTACAAGTATTCGGAGTTTGACATTTTAACCAGTAGCACCTTTTATAATTAAAACGTGTCAACCCAGTGAAATCAGAAGTCAAAAGCCAAGAGGTTCGAAGTCATATTTGATAAAATATCGATATATCAAGAATTGACTAGTCGTAGGAAGTGTGAAGCGCAACGCACCCATTCACAATCTGGTGCGGACAGGCTACTGAGAGCCTTCAGCTAGGTAAGTCCATTAAAACTGATGTGGTCGGCATCAAGTGTCGAAGACTTACATAGCTATTGGTTTTGAGTATTTATTTACTGGTACGGATCACTCCCCCTCCACTAATGAAGTGACGATGGCCCTAAGACGTGGCCAGTCAGAGGTTTAAACCCAGAAAGTTTGTCGTTGGCGAACACTCGTCTGACAGCTTGCTGTGTTCAGCAGAGTCTGGCCGTCTTTCCTTGCTATAAGGGTTGTGTTGTACAATCTAGTAATAAAAAACAAGCAGAGTGAAAATTTCGATTCATCGCAAACTCTGTCGTCTTTCTTCACCTTTTCCAGCCGTCTTGGAAAAGAAAAAAAGAATATGTATGTCGAATGTCGAATTACGCTCGTACGTGCGTAACGACACAAAACAGACGGAAAAAAGCAAAATAATCTGATATATATGCGTTTCGTAAACATACAATAGCGTAAAAAAGATTTTCGCAGAGTGAGTTTTGGGTTTACTCAGAAAAATAAAACGTTACACATATAAGAAAGCAAATTAGAAACAAAAAGGTTTTATTTTTTTTGGAATAAGTACAATAAATATATATGAGCATATTAGAAATAGTTTGTCTTCGTTTTCTTTTTTGACATAACAATACAGAAAAATTCAGAACAAAACAAAGTGTTATGTAGTGTTCAGTAATCGTTTAGGCCTTCTGGAAACCATACTCTCCTTGCAGAACGCGTTGTTTTAAATCGGTTGTCAGATGCTACCGAAGTTTCTTCGTGACTGTTGATTATAGAGCAAGGCATCGTAATTGTAAAACTCGTGCCTTTCGATTGTACCGAAGGAAAATTGACATGACTACGTTCTCCTTCTAAATACGCGACTGTAAGACGATCGATGCTGATACTATCATTACTTTTGTCCCTATGGATGATGTAGCACTTAGGTTTGCGCTGAAGGACTTTGAAGTGTCCTTTGTATGTCGTTTCGAGAGGTCGTCGAAGTGAGTCTTGACGTACAAATATGTGTGTATTATATCGTAAGGCAGGTTGAACAAAAATATCCGTTTGCTGAGGTCGAGTGGAAACAGGTTTAACTGAACTCATGGTGTTTTTAAGCCTGCTCGTGTAAGAGTTAAATCCATATTCCTTGAATCAGATAAACGATCTACGAATTCTCCTGGAAGTCGGAGTTCCGTTCCATAAATGAGTTGAACTGCAGTGTATCAAGAGTCAGTCTCCACTGAATTGCGAGTTCCAAGTAAAACAAGTGGAAGGGCGTCGGTCCACTATGAAACACTTGCAGCTGAGTGTGGAGCTTTGAGCTGTCGACAAGAGCATTCTACCAACTCGTTCGCTTATGGGTGGTAGGAAGTTGTTCGAAATCGTGTGATTTCTAGTAGTGTAGTTAGTCAACGTGAAGGTCCAGATTTCAACTGGGATCCACGGTCTGTAGTGATATTTGAAGGGCGACCGAATTTTGGTACCCACCGTTCGAATGATGCGTGGGTCACCTTTTCGGTAGTGATGCCATTGATGGGTACTGCTTACAGCCATCAAGTGAAACCGTCTATACAGGTTAAGGGATAAGAACATCCATTTGAGTCTGGCAATGGTCCTACCAAATCCAGGTGAACACAGTCGAGACGAGCATCAGGAGTTCCGAATGAGCCTAAGGAACATTTGTTGTGTCTAATCACCTTAAGTTTTTGGCAGCTTGCACAGGAGCGCACCAACTCCCTCACGTCTTTATTCATATCACGCCATGAAAACCGTTTTGACATGAGCTTGATGGTTCCAAGAACACCTGGGTGAGAAAGCCTATGAAACGTATTGAAGACGTTGCGTCGATAATGTTTCGGCATGACTGGACGATCCCTACATGTAGATGAGTCTCTATCTGTTTAATACGCAAATTCAGGGTAGTCGGAGATAACTCATGATGAAGATCAGGGCCTTCTTTTTGAAGCTGTACGAGTTTGATAGAATTAATTCCTGCGAAAATGTTCAAAGAATTTGTGCGAAAAAAAAGCGTCTGCAACTACATGTGTTTGCCCCAGAAACGTGGTGTATATCTGAAGTGAACTGCAAAATGTAGTCAAGTTGTCGAGACTCTCAAGGTGAATACTTGTCTGAAGACAAACTTAGAGAGAAGGTGAGTGGTGTATGGCCAGTAAACAAAATGAATTATCGGTCTTCCACAAAGTGTTGGAAAGGCAGTACAGGACAACTCATGGCTAGGAGTTCACTCAGCATCTCTTAAACCGAAAGTCACGCGCGAAAATTCTTAGAGTCCCAAAGAAGTGACGACTGTTGTGGTTTTAGAAATGTCGTCGGTAGCCATGAGAATTCGGCTACAGGCCTTAACCAAGTCGATCTTCGAAAAACCAGCTATAACTAACAACCTAGCTGTCAAATCGTGAATGTGAGATAACGGACAACGATCAAGAATGGTTTTTGTATTCAGTCTACAGCAGCCACCAGTTGGACGCCAGTCGTTGCTGCGAGAAAGATGCCCACGGGCTATTTGATGGCCGAACGATTTCTAAGTGTATCGTGGCCGAATTCGTCTTTGACCAACAACAGCGTTTTAATTTCTCTTATTACAACTCAGCTATCCCTATTGCTTTGTGATTCACTCGATAAGTCCTCAAATCAGAACACGGTTGAACAGAAAGGATATTATATTCCAAATAACAAGTGTAGGTGGAAGTAAGAAGCACAATAAGAAAAATTTCAGTACATTTGTAGCTTTTACATGAGATTCTAGATTGTTCTCCAAGCATGTACTAGCGCCGATTGGATAAGAGATAGACAATCAGCGTGCCCTAACATGATTGTGCACGGAAAGTACTTTATTTCTATTTATGCCCCGTTAACACCTCTCATTGGAGCAGATTCGGAGGATCTGGTGCTGGGATCCAACTTAAACCGAGCGACTGACATGTTCTTTTCATTTATTCGTCGTCTGTTCCTCTGTTCCAGAGGTTTTGATTTCAAAGGCGTCTAGCAGAACATCAAGAGATATTCCATGTCAAGTTCCGTTGATGTCGATCGAAGTCGCTCTCAATTAGCGAGCATGACGCACCCAAAATTCTGAGCCAGCTGACACCTCGTAAACCACACTGTTTCTTTTGCGCGATTCGACCAGCTATTCATGTAGGATGTTTTCCATAATAGTCCTAGCAAGTACTTTTTGACCCACCGTGAACAATCGTCTTTGTGCCTCATGATGTCGAGTGAACTACTTCTCCATCAGTAGGTTTCGTTGAGGCTCAAGAGCTGGCGTAGGACGGATGACATCAAAATGTGTTCGTATTTTTCTGCCAAGTACTGCTTCTGCTGCAGAGAACCCGCTAATCGTCTGAGTATTCGGTGCAGAGCGATAAATAAGCAGGAACCTTTCGGAGATCTCTTCAGCGGTAACATCCGCTTTCGATTTTTGAAGAGCGTTTTTAGATATGACAACAAAGCGTTCCACTTGGCCATTGGATTGGAGATGGAATGGAGGGGTTCGGACATGATTGACTCCGTTTTGACGACAAAATTCTGAGACTAAGGCAGGTGTACACTGTGTTCAATTGTCACTAACTATTAATTCTGGGACTCCGAAACGGCTGAGTAATTGACGTAGTTTTCTGACTGTGCACGTTACAGCAGGATGTTCCATGAAAACATTTCTGGTCACTTGCTGTATGCATCAACTGCCAGAAGATAAGTTTGTCAGTGAAGTGGACCAGCAAAGTTCAAATGTATACATTACCCCAGTGGCTGTGGTATTGGCCATGACTGCTGCCCTGCTTTCCGCGGTGCTTTTGTTGCTAATGCACATTCGGCATGCGAACGGGATAGCTGCTCCAGTTGAGTGTCTATATGCGGCCAGTATGCATAACTTCGTGCTAGTGCTTTTAACGATTTATTCCAGGATGGCCTGTGCGCAACTATTCAAGTACTGCTGTTTGCAGCTTCTTTGGGATTATGACGAGTTCCGCAAACAACAGTCAGTCGTCGATGACTAAGAGAGAGAGAGTCTACGTTGGTAAAACCGTTGAAGCTCTGTGGAACTGGTCTTCGAGGGCCACCCTTCAAGGTGGAACTTTCTAACTTCTTGTAGGATTGAGTCTCGAAGGGTTTCTTCTCTGACATCATTTGACGACAACGGAGTGTTTTTCAAATGGCATCTGCTACCATACTCCGTATTTCTGGATCTACTGCTGTGGGGGCACTGATTATGTCCTCTTGTCCAGGATGTTGAACTCCAATTAATCAAGAGACAGAGTCGCTTTTACCGATAACATTTGTTGGCTGACACTTGATAATGAAATCATAGCCCAAAATAATTGTTGCCCAGCGCTGTAATCTGTTAGCCGTATTTACAAAGATTCATTTCTTAGAACCAGAGATTACAACCAAAGGTTTGTGGTCTGTCAGTACAGCAAGCGTACGTCCATAGAACATTTTATGGAATCATTTAACAGTAAAAGTGATTGTAAAT